ACCTCTGAGATCCATACATGAACACCTGCCTAAACCAGAAGCTGGAAATTGTTGGGGTCTCTTGTCAAGAGACCACAGCTTACTGGCCAGGCACAGGCCCCATATCACCAAATAATGTCTTTTTAGAAGGTCACTTGCTAGCCATCTCACAGGAAGTTAGGGTACAAGGCAAACCCGGAAATCCAGGGCTCTTAGCAACTAACCAGCCAGTTGGAACAAGATCCTCTATCTTTCTAGTCCTCTGTTTCCTCTTCTCCAGGATGTGCTGACCTCTGAGTCCTTTTACAGCTGGGAATCTTGGCTCTCTGCCCTGAGCCCCACTAGTAACTTCCCTTATGAATGTGCCCGCGTGCTTGGCCTCCTTGCTATGTGCATTTAGTTTCTCTGTTTAAATTTTCTCTTTTCAAGTAAAGAGATAAAAATGTGGGAAGTGTTCTGAGAGGGCTGGGAGGAAGCTTCCCACTGGGAAATGTCTCACTGGGGGACACTTGCCCACCCTCAAAGGAGGTGCTCTGGGGCTCCCTCCAAAGGCATGGGAAGACCTCACCACCCTTTGGCCTACAGAGACAAGAGGAGGCCCCGTTTTCCCGTTGCTTCCCAAGAGTTGTTGTTGTGTGCTGTGAGTAGATTCCGACTCATAGCGACTCTGTAGGACAGAGTTGGGTTTCCTAGGCTGTAATCTTTAAGGAAGCAGACTGCCACATCTTTCTACTGCAGAGCAGCTGGTGGGTTCATACCACCAACATTTTGGTTAGGAGCCGAGCACTTAACCATTGCACCACGAGGGCTGCTTTTTCCAGGAGTAGACAGACCCTAATGAACCATTTCCCCCACTTTCTGAACCACTCAATTCCCAGAATTGTCATATGCTTCCCAAGATGTTTAAAACTGGGCTTTGCAGCATTGTCATGCACTTGCATTTGCAAAGAACTGTAGAAACTGATTTTATCAGCTTTCTCCTGACTGTTCTGGAAGGTGGGTCAGTGATTTATTAACCCTGTTTCACAGCTGAAGGAGAGCCAAGAGCAACTCATCCAGGGATCAGTTGAGCATGAAGATAAAAAAGCAGAGATACCTAGCTGGGACCATTTCTGCATCTGATATCCTTGTGTTGAGAGCATTCAGAATGACTTTCCATCCTCCCCAGATCCATTAACTACCCAAAGGGAAGAAAAGAGCCCCCCTGAAACTTAGAGGCAATCACAGACTGGATTCTTGGCAACAAATGACAAAATGAAAGTAACCTGAGGCTTGTTGCTATGGCAAGAATCATTCTCCCTAAGGTGGAAAA